TGAATTTCATATTAGTAAAACAATTTTAAGAAAATCAAAACATATTATATATAAATTCTAAATTCTTAAAACAAGTGAACCACGAATTTCTGCACGTTTATCATGTTATAGCTAAGCTTTGGCCTGTATGGTAATGAAAGAGACTAATCTTTAGCAAATTCATGTATATGTTTTGATAATTTGATTGCTACTACTAAAGCTTCGTTTGGGACGGTTATCTTACTGCTTCTTAAAAGTTAAAATAATTTTTTAGTAAAAAATTTTAATTTTTAAATTAAAAAATTGCTTTAAGAAGCAACAAAAAATCGTCACAGGACTGCTTTCTTATTGCTTCTTAAAGCAATTTTTGTACTAAAAAGTTGCTTTAAGAAGCAATCAGAAAGTCATCTCAAATGAAGCCTAAATTATCAGCATTCAATTAATGTTAATAACCCAATAATTTATTGCATGTTGAAAATAACATCTTAATATAAATTATAATTAGATGAGTTTAAAATTATTAAAAATAATTTTTAAATTATAATGTGTGTTGCGTCCTGGAGCTAGTATTCGCGGTGGTAGAGAAATATATAGTTTAACGTCTTAGCATTGTACGAAGATCCAACACACAATTAGATAAGAGAGAGTGTGTAGCATTCATAAGAGACACCATAGTTTTTACGTGGAAACCCTCGAAAATGGTGGAAAAACCACGAGGTCTGGCCTAGTTTGAATGAATCCACTAGTATTTGCAGTGGATTACAAATGAGGCCCTTCCTTGGGAGAAGGCCTTGGCTTGATGGTACAAATATACATCATATAGAGTGCATTACATGTTGAGAGTTACAATATAAACATGTTTGTTTGGTCGGCATGACAATAGTCGATAAGATAGAGGTCGAAAAGAGCGTTGTCTTGTGATGGAGGTCGGAATGACCATAGTAGGCAGGAGACCGGGGTCAGAAGACTGTTGTCTGCTGATGGAGGTCAGAAAGATTATAGTAGGCGACATAGATCGGGGTGAGAAAGACCGTAGTTGAAGGACAGTATTTTGGGAGAACTATGAGAATCAAGTGATGCCCTGGTGGAGCTTAAGGCCTCAAGTAGTGGTTCGGTGGAAGTTTGGACCTCAGGTGGTGTTCTGGTGGAGCACATGGCCTCAAGTGGTGGTCCGACAGAAGTCTGGGCCTCAGGTGGTGTCCTGGTGGAGCATAGGGGCTCAAGTGGCGGTTCAGCGGAAGTCCAAGCCTTAAGTGATGGCCTGGTGAAACACAAGGCCTCAAGAGGTGGTTCGATGGAAGTCCGAGCCTCAGGTGGTGGTCCAGCGGAGCCACAACATCAGGTGGTGGTCCGGCAGAGGTGAGGGCCTCCAGTGGTGGTCCAGCGGAGCAACAACGTCATGTGGTGGTCCGATGGAGGTGAGGGCTTCAAGTGGTGGTCCGGCAGAGGTGAAGGCCTCAAGTGGTGGTCTGACGAAGGTGAGGTCCTCCAGTGGTGGTCCGGTGGAGGTGAGGGCTTCAAGTGGTGGTCCGGCGGAGGTGAGGGCCTCTTGTGGTGGTTCGGCTGAGCAACGATGTCAGGCGGTGGTCCGGCGGAGCAACGACGTCAAGTGGTGGTCAGGCGGAGGTGAGGGCCTCTTGTGGTGGTTCGGCGGAGCAAAAGTGTCGGGCGGTGGTCCGGTGGAGGTGAAGGCCTCAAGTGGTGATCCGGCGGAGCAACGGCGTTAAGTAGTGGTCCGGCGAAGGTGAGGGCCTCTTGTGGTGGTTCGGCGGAGCAACAATGTTAGGCGGTGGTCCGACGAAGGTGAGGGCCTCAAGTGGTGATCCGGCGGAAGTCCGGCGGTGGTCGAGGAGGAGCTTCTTCATTCTCTTCCTTCTCTTCTTCCTTCTTCTCTTCTTGCATGTTTCGGTCCCCCTTTCAAGAGAAATGAGGGATCTATTTATATATTTCTAGAGTGGCATGTCCCGTAAATAGGAGAGAGATCAAGGGTAAATGGGGAGTGGTTGGATGGACGGTCGATGTTGAATCCCTTGATTGTGGACCGTTCGTTAGACAATTGAAGGTCTTAATGATGTCGGAATTCGGCGATCTTGGGCTCGTTGGATTCGTCTCGTAGAGCTGCTCGATTCGATTATAAGCACATCATGTTTGGAAACTGTTTGGTAACCCAAATTGTGGTTCAAACCTTCCAACAATGCTTTAGGTCCTTGATTTGAACTCATTGGGGATCGGATTGAGTCGAATTTGATGTCGTTGGATTCGTATTTCTGAGACGTTCAGGTCGACTATAAGTTTGTTGAAATTGGAGTTCGGATGGTCCCAATTTTAATTCTGGAAGTTTCCAACTTGATTTTGTATCGAGATTCGTGCCCGATCAAGATAATTTTTCAATGAAGTATCAATATGTAAGCTTAATTTAATATATTTATATCAGTAAATCTGATATAGTTTGTTTTCATGCGCATGGCCCTAAGGAACACTATCTTTCATGTTTTTGAGGATTGCAGTTGATTTTATTATTTCTTTTCTTAAATTAAAAGCTCTTTGTTAATATATCTATTTTTAAATATTAGCTAATTTAAACTATAGAAACTGATCATAAGCATCAGTCAAGTCTTAGAATCCCAATTGGAAAGCACATATGACAGCAGGCAAAGCTGAAATAACTATGTCCAATAATCAGTAAGCATCCCTGTATCAAAACGAGGGAGGAAAAACAAGCGGTTGGAGAAAAGGAGAAAGGTCTCATGTGAAGAAAAAGAAGAAAGCTAGGGAGGCAACTTGGCTTTCTTTTTGTCTAGTCTGGCTGCTTTTCCCATGAAAGTGAGCAGTGGTGAAAGCTAAGTAGTAAGATAAGATGAAAATTTTCATTTTATTTTGTTTTCTTCAGCTAAGCACTAATCTCAAATTAGATTAGAAAAGTAATTAAGTTATTAGTGTGTTTTGAACCCCGCAGCTATTGCGGAGGGAGCGAGGGGCAGAGCACTGACAGCGAAGCTAAGCGCACAACACAAAGCTTAATTAACGCCCTACGTAGGATGTGCACTTGCCAAATCCATTATTCTCCAAAATAAATAAATAAATAAATAAATAAATAAATAAATAAAAATCATTGTGGTTCAGAGTTTCAGATCTTTTACATCAACAAATTTTAGGCCATTCTATTTCTCACAAGCCATTTGAGTATGGAAAGAATATCTCAATGAAAGATCCTATGCCAGACATATTAGTCCAATGGAAATCCTGAGGGTACTTATGAAGTAGAGAACTTTTGAAGCAGCAAAAAGAGTGAAGATCATGCTATGATCCATATTTAATTCAAAATTAAAATATGTTTGGAATGAGCACTGTAGCATTATATAAAGTTGATAGCAAAATTACAATGGATAAAATAACTTCACTATTATGATTGTAGAAATCAACTTCCTATCATAAAAATTTATGAAAAAAAAAGACAATAAAATAATAATCAAAAGAAATTATTATTATCGTCTAAAAACTGAAAAAGTCAAAAAATTGTTTCATATAAATTATGAGCAGCACATCTAAATGCTTAGGCATCTCTAACGGAGAACTCTATTTTTCACGCCAAAATACTGTAAACCGCAAAAATGGCGTGGTGCTGCTCCAATCGAACGTCATTTTTTTGCTTATGCGCGAAGGTAACGATCCTTCTCCTTTGGCACGTTTTTCCGGTTGAGACAGTAAAATAGCGTGGGTGAACAGTGCAACACCAATATATTGGCGTTGCACTGTTCACCCGTAAGCAAATGACAGATGTTTTGACGTTCGGCTGGAGCGACCGAACGACGCCAAACGCTCGTTTGGCGTTCGGTTGGAGAGGCTCTTAAAACTCTTCCAGTTTTGGTAGTTGTATAGCTACTTAATATAAAAGCTAGTGGAAGATACTAAGTGGAATCCCATCAAGTATCCTTACCAATAAAGAAGGACCAAAACCCCACGACCAAATTTCTAAAATAATAATTTCCTGCAATTATGATGTTTCATTGGTGATGCATGCCTTCTGCATGGCTCTATAAAAAATAATAATAATAGTATGGCTTCTGTTAAACAGATCAATCAAGTGGCTTTTATGACTAATTAAATCAGTAGCATTTTATATATAGCTTTAAAGTGCAGCCAATTATGTTGAATCGCCATTCTATCTTTACCTAATTTTCGTCTTCCTCTTTAATCTTGAGGTTTGGAACTAAAGCAACTTCTAAATCACAAATTTATTGTAAAAAGTAGCAAAAGGTTAGTGCAATAATTGGTTGGATAATCACGTTTAATATTTATATTTTAAAAACTAAAACCTAAGCGCTTTTGCTTACAATATTAACGACTTTTGATTGCATGAGATTAAAAAATTGTATGCTCCCATTTATTTATATTTGATTTATAATGTCATAATGAGGATTCGATCTTGATTCGACACGTTGCTAGTTACAAATTAATTTCTTACTCACCAAATCTCAAAAGATATACTTTAGGCTTCGTCTGAGACAACCTTTTTACTGCTTCTTAAAACAGTTTTGTAGTACAAAAAAAAAATTTTTGAACTAAAAAGCTGCTTTAAGAAATAATATAAAAGCTGTCCAAAACGAAGCTTTAATTTACACCTCATGACTATTTTATTTACAGTCATAACTTAAATAATCATTTTGACTACTAGCTAAGTCGATGTAGTTATCATCAGAATAACTCCTCAATGGAAACTCGCCATCAATTCACCTATATTAGACAACTCTCAATCATACTCTTCAATGCACAACTAGCTAAATCTAAATCAATTATGTATTTTTTTCTTATTTTACCATGTGATGCTTTTTGTTCATCCAAATTTGCCTCTAACCTATAAAGATGCGGTCAAAATTTAAGATTGTGGGTGACAAAAATGTATTTTATATCAAAATATTATCTTATAGAGACCACTCACATTTTTGTATTCCATCACTCAAGCTAGCTAGGCAGGCCAATAATATATGAGTCCGCTCAAACCTGCTCGTTTACAGCGCCACTTCCAAAGCAAAAAAGTAGAATTTTCATTATTTTGGAGAGAACAGAGAAATTTAACAATATTAACATTAAAAAAAAAAATTGAAACAGCAGCAGGACTAGCTTATAGATTTACCAGCAAAAGTTATGGCCATAAATCCAAAAAAAAAACTAAACATATTTTCACTCGTTTGGGTACCAACTTTATTTCATTACTATATGCCTTCTTTAAACTCGTTTGCTTCTTCCTAGAAATCCTTCCAGAACAACCCGCCTCTTGTTATACTCACAAAATCGCTTTTGCAGGCGGTCCTCCGCCGGAGGCAGCGCCGATGCAGCCGACGCTGGAGTCTCCACACCACCGAGCTCAGGTGTCTCAGTAGCCGGTTTCCGGCGAGGAAGAAAGCAGAGACCCGATGCCGTCCACAGAATTGCGCAGATCCGGCCGCAGAATACCATCACTATCAAGCTCACCACCAAGAAACAGAGAGCATACCGCCTCTCCGCGCCCGTTTCCACTGCCCCCCTTTGCCTCGGGGTAGGAAAATCCGGGTAAGACAAGGAGGAAGAAGATGATAAAGACGATGGTGTTTTGGGTGATGAGCTCGATGAGGATGAGAAGATCACCTCATCCGATCCCCGATCTTCATCGGAGTTCGATTTCCGTACCGATGCGGTTTCCGATTCAAAGGTTGGTTTCCGATCACAGAATTGACCGCCAATTTTCTGTTGTAACCGAGGGCGAATTAAAAATAAAAAATAAAACGTTCGATTCCAACCCTAGCTTGTGAAAAAAACAGATATCAAAGGAGGAGTAATCGTACCGTATCTGAAGAATTATCAGTACAACCGTTCTCCTGTGGCCTGATGAGAATCGGGAAGATGATTCCGGTGAGGCGCCGCCGCCACCGGCGCTGTCGATTGCACGGCCGAAACTCCGGCAGGACATGGACCGCTGTGATCTGTTCCTTGGCCACAGGCGAGAAGCAGAGAAATTGAGCTATCTTCATCTTCTTGTGAGGTCAGGTGTCGGCCATGGGTTCTTCTCTCATGACATGGCGGCTCGATCGGCAGTTTATAAGCTAGCGGGAGGGGGAAAGGGGCTGCGAGTTTTGTTGCCCGTTACCCGTCGGGCAGATCCGCGCGCCGCTTTTTCACGAGTGAATTCAAACTTCAACATATATTATTTTATTCATTTATTGACTTTGGCTCGTTTCTTCGTCTTTCTGTTTTTTTTTTTTTTTTTTTTTTGAAAATTAGAGGCAATATCCCATGTATTAAATTAAAAGGGTGTTATAAGTAAAAGCAAAAGAAAAATATGTAGAAAAATCAAATAAGAGGCTAAAACTACAAACCCTAAGAAAAAACAAAACGGGCGCGGGGGGTCCAAGGAGCAAGGTTCAGGAATCGAATATGAGTAGGTAGTCATTGGGGAGGTCAAAAACAGTATTCAGTATACCAGGTAAAACATCAAAAGCTCAGAACATATGCTCATGGTAACATTAGCACAGCAGACTCCAAGTTGCCACAAGCCCTCCAAGGTGAAAACCAGTAAGCACAGGGCCTTCCCACAGGGGGAGTATGAATCCAGAAAGCTAGCGATATGCAACCCGTAAAAACAGCCTGGTTCGTCTTTCTGTCACTTTTTTTTTTTGGTTAGAAATTAGAATATCTAATCAAATTTTAGTAAATTTAAAAAAATTACATAAATAATTTAAATTATACTAAATTTAAAAATTAGATATAATATCTTTGAAATTAATTCTGATTATTTTTAAAAATATTTTTATATAATTTCTAATGTCATAATATTTACAAAAAAAATCACATTTAAATTATTTGTGGTGTGGAACCGCACACAACCTCTAGTAAAATAAAAGGAATAGGAAAACAGAGAAAGAGCAGAAACCTTGTTTAGGTGTTAATATTCATCATCAATGTTCTCCCATACATTCTGATAAATATATATGATCCTGTAATATTATAGAGAATTTCTAAAAGAAAGGAATAACGTTCTATGGTTGTCATTATATGGCATATGCAGTAAAACAAAAAAAATAAAGTAATAGCTAAAGTAGAGAGGGAGGTAGTGGAGGATGTAGGTTTGTTAGGAGAAACAAGTGTGTTGTTGTAGTAGAACGCTGGATTAGGATAGTCCATATCAGATCTCCTCGACTTCAAAAGGTTCCTTACCAGAGAAAATTGATTGAGCCATATATGTATTTGGAGGTTTGTAAGAAAAGATGCCCAAGACATTAAAGGTGGAAGAATTGAGGAAGTTTAGTGGAAGATCTATAATGTAGGCGTTGTCATTGATACGTCTGAGAATAGATAATAGTCACATTTTATGGGGACTAAGTTTGAAATATGTTCCTTGTTGAAATCTTTCTCTGCGGAGGCGAAACGTAATAAGATCGCCAGGGTTGAAGATTTTTTCTCACATATGTGAATCAAAAAGCTACTTGTAGCTATCATTGGCACCTATTAGTTTGGTCTTTACATCTTGCAACATCTTTGTGTAAGTTTTAGTGGTTTCGACTGCTACTTTACTTCTGCATTTTGGAAGGATGGTGATATCAACTAAATGGTTAGGTACCTTGGTGTAGACAATACTGAATGGACTTTGCTTCGTTGACCGATTTGACATGGAATTATATACGAATTTGGCTTGGCCTAAGTAGTTGTCCCACTGTTTTGGGTGTTCATGGGCTAGACATCACAACATGTTACCCAATGTACGATTAACGACTTCCGTCTGGCCATCAGATTGGGAATGGTGGGCATAATTGAGCTTGATTTCAGTTTGTAGTTGTTTCGATAGCTCTCACTAGAAATGACTAACATATTTGACATCACAGTCGGATGTAATGTTGCGAGGCAGACCGTATAAGCGGACAATCTCCTTGAAGAAAAGAATGGCAACGTTGAGAGCATCAAACATCTCTTTGCAGGCAAGAAAAAGAGCCATTTTAGAGAATCAGTTAACAACAACCATAATTGAATCAATAACTCACTTTGTATGTGGCAATCTCAACACAAAATCCAAACTCAAGTCTTCCCATATGGAGTTAGATACTGGTATCGACATGTATAGCCATGTATTATGAGCATTACCTTTCTATAGTTGGCAAAAAGGACATCGTTCCACGAATCAAACGACATCCCAACGTAGATGAGGCCTGTAAAATATGCTTTGCATTTGTTCCAAGGTTTTGTCTCTACATAAATGTGTAGCTAGTTTGCCACGATGCTTCTCCTTAATCAAATATTCTCTCCAAGAGGAGTCTGGCATACATAGCATATTTCCTTTGAAAAAAAAAAATCTGACAAGATGGAAAAGTCATGGAATGGAGTTGCTGGACATTTGACAATTGGCTCCATGGTTCGAAAAAAATCCATGTCTGTCGAATACAGTTCTTGTAGAGGATGCAATCCTTGAATATTAGTTTCAGCTGAGTTATGAAGGTGTTACGCCTGCTAAGAGCATCAATGACGTGGTTCTGAGCTCTGAAGTTGTGCTTCAATATAAAACTGAATCTTAGCAAAAATGTTATGTACCTAGCATGCATTTTATTCATTATTTTCTAGCTATTGATAAATTGGAGTGCATGGTTATCACTGCTTAGGACAAAATTTTGATGCATGAGATAATGCTCACATTACTTCAAAGTTCGAATAACAGCATATAATTCTTGTTCATATGTGGACCAATTCTGGCGAGTGGGGCTCAATTTCTCGCTGACGAACTCAAGAGGTCTATCTTCATGTGATATAGCATATCCAACACCTACTGCGAATGTGTTAGTGTCTACATGAAATGGCTTGTTGAAGTACGGTACATCTAAGACAATGGTTGAACTCAATGTTCTTTTGATGGTGTTAAAACTATGTTGTTGGGATTGTGTCCACTAGAATGATTTGTCTTTGAGGAAATCTATGATTGGTGCCACAATGATGTTGAATCCTTGGATAAATCAGCGATACAAGTTTGTTAAGCCATTGAAGCTTCGGACCTCGAATGCTTATCATGGAGTTGGCCACTCCTTAATAGCAATGACCTTTTGAGGGTCCATATGAACACCATGGCAAGATATAATAAAATAAAAAATGTGGATTGAACCTATTGCAAACTCATATTTAGGAAAATTAAGGTAGAGATTATGTATTCTCATAATTTAGAAATTAGAAGTGAGATGTGTTTAATTATCTTGTAGTGTTGAGCTATAGACGAGTATAGCATAAAATTAGACAACACAATACTTCCCTAGAACAGATTTGAGAACTTCATTCATAAGCCTCATGAATGTCATAGGGCATTGCAAAGATCGAAAGGCGTAACTCGCCATTCATACAAGCCTTCACGGGGTTTAAATGCGATCTTCCATTCATCCCCCGATCTAATGTGGATTTGGTGATACCCGCTTCTTAAATCATGCTTTGAGAAGATGGAGGTACCTACGAGTTTATTCAATATATATCTAAGGCGTGGCACCGAAAAGCAGTATTTTACTATAATTTTGTTGATAGCTCGACTATCAACACACATTTGCCAGCTATCATCTTTCTCATGGCAGGGATGATGCACGGACTTAAGCTGGGATGGATTAAATTCTTTTGTAACAGTTCATCAATAATGTTTTGCAATGCTGAGTGTTCTTGTGGGCTCATTTTGTAATGCGGTAAATTCAGTAATGTGACCCGAGCTGTAATTCTATTTGGTGTTGTAGCTTGCGCAAAGGTGGTAAGTAATTAGGCAGCTTGTTGGGCCAGACGTTTGCAAAGAGCTAGAGGATGGCATGAACCTCCACAAGAAAATTTGGGAGTTTATTGTATTGGATGGGTATTGAACAAATTAGTGCAAGTACAGTGGAAGACTCTCGCCAAGAGTGGATAATGTTTAGTCCTGACACAATGTACATTGCAGCCTTATATGGCACTTCTTTGTTACCACAATTGGTGGAATGAGGTAATAATCGAATCTTACGATTCTTTCATTCAAAGGTGTAGGTATTTGTACGCCTATCATGTGTAGCTCCCACGTTGAATTGCCAAGGCCGTCCCAAAATTATGTCACAAATGTCTATCTCAAGGACATCATAAAGGACTTCCCAAACATACTTCTTCCCAATAGAAAAATGTTACCCTGCACATTTCCAACATAAGAATTTTCACGCCTTTCTTCAGCCAGCTTATCCTGTAAGGGTGCATGTTCTTTGTCATTTTGAGTTGTAGCTTTTGCACCACGGATCAAAAAATGATATTCTCTGTGCATCCACTGCTTATGAGCAAATCACAAACCTTCCCGTTGATGGTACATAGTGTATGAAAAATGGAATCTTGCTTCAAATTATTAGCTTGACAAGGAGCCAACAAAAGTTTCTCCATGACACAAACTATCAGTTCCTCTTCATCCACCTGAAGGTCTTTAAAATCCTGTGCATTCATCGCATCTGCATTGTGATGATATCCCTTTGGTTCTCCATATATTAGCTGAAGTTATTGTCAATTACAGAAGCCGTTGGATTTATGTCCAGGTTGAAAACATTTCCTACACATTTCCTGTTCATTCACCACCTCATTTGAATGTTTTCGACTTCAAATAAGGATTATTTTCCTTAACTGAGATTTACTGGTGATATGTGGAAGTGGATATTGGTTCGACACCGAGCATTCCCGCACCTCCATGTTGTGGTGTCACTGGTTTGCCAACAACCGGTTGTTTGTTTACATCCCCAATTGGCTCAGGATTATAACGACGTGTCACATGGCTCCTTGGATGGCGATTAAGCTGAATTTTCAACTTTAAGAGCGTAGTTCACTATTTGAGATGGGGTCCAAACCGATTTTAGCTCTCAAGTTTGTCATGAATAGCTTCCTCAGTATAATGCGCCACGAGTTGGTTTTCAAATTCACTCAAGTTATTCTAGGCACTCAATTTGTAAAATTCTTATGTGTACTCGTTTGCTGTTATATCATCCTGAGAGCAATGTTGATATTGGAGATAAAACATCTGCTCAAAATCAATAGGTAAAAAATTCTCTCGCAATCGTTTCATCTGATACAGCTCGTTATACTGCCTTTCCCTTCTCATCTTCTCGATTGTAAAAGTTGCATCCACCAGGATCCATCCTCGCCTTTCAAACGACAGGTAACATAC